GCTCGCATGCCCACTTGTCTGTCCTTGGCAAACTGCAATGCTCCAGCAAAAACTGGAGGAGCAACATCTCATCTCCAAACTTGGCACTTTACAACCTTTTGGGCTCAATATTGAGTTCAACACCTTCAAATTGTGAACCCATTCCTTCCCTTTCTTTTAGCTTTACTTGTTACATCCTCTGTTACCATGTCCTCTCTCCCCCTATTCTCACCCCAGTGGGACTGTCTTCTCTTTCCTGTCTGGCAGTTAGACACACCTTTGTTCTGCCATTCTCACATTCCGATCCTTAATCTGAACTATCAATATCCTTCCTCCCCAAGCACTCTAACCTCTCCCAACTACAGCATAAATGCTGCACCTTCCACTCTTCACTTCAACTCTGATGAAGAGTCACCTAGACTTGAAACGTCAGCTTGCTTTCTCTATGGATGTCACCTGATCCACTGTGATCTCCAGCACATTTTGTTTTCAGTATAGAGTTCAGCATCTGCAGTAATTTGCTCCTGTATGTAAATATATTCTTGTTCAAGTAAGAGGTGCCTTTGGTTTGTTTGGATAGAGTCAAACGGGAATGTTTGTTTGTTTCCTTGATATGCTACTGTACAGAACCAAACTGCGTTTGTGACTTATAAAAATATTTTTATGAATAAAGTATATTTTTGAAATATAAAAAAAATTATCATGCCTTTTAAAAATTTGTTCTAGTAATTTGTTCTAGTGTTATCAATGCACCTATTTTCAATTGTTGTTGCATTGAGCATCCTCATTGCAAACATTGGGCCTGGAGTCACTGAACCAGGGGCAAGACCTTGAAAGTTATGAAGAATAAAACATACTTTCTGCAACTTCCAACAGTGGCACAAACGGTTCCCAGGCTAACCTTCAGGCAAACTCTTCCAACTTACACCTTTTTGTATTTCAACCACACTACTCTGCTGTAGACCCCGAGTTAGGCCTCAAGAAGGCAAACTTTCAGTCCCTTTGTGGTCATAAAATAATGCCACGTCTTGATTTGGCATGCTTGAGACTTTATGTGGATTGGGAAAGGTTAAAAATGGAAAGCACATTTCTGTTTTCTCATTCTATTCTTTGTAGAATCTGGAAGCTAGACCAGTTTATATGGGTGTGACCAGTCCAAATATTCTGGCATTTCCTGACCAACCTCAGGCAAGCCACAGTGCTTAATTTAACAATTCAACTTTCCAAAGCATACAATATATCAAATGCAGGCACTTCATTGGGTACGCTGTCTTCAGATGGCCTCTTTGAATGGCAGGGAATTGGTTCTGTAATGACTTTAAAGAAGAAAGACAAGCAACTCCTTACAGTTACCGTCTGTAAACAATTCTCTCCATAAGTAGCACCCACTTATGGTGTGGCTCTTTTGACTGTAATTTCAAATGTTTCGCAAGCTGGCGATATTCTCTTTTCTGTAAAGTCCTCTTAAAGGGTCATCATGGATGTCAGTCTCAGAAGATGCCCCAGTGGCTACAGATGGCTCAGAATTGTTACAGTGCAGAAGTAGGCTGTTCAGCCCATCGATTCTGAGCTAGGTCTCCAAATGAGTATCTCACTTCAAGCCGTTATCCTGTTTCTCCCTATAAGGCCACACATCCTTCCTTTTCAGATTACAATCTAATTCGCTTTTAAATATCTCAGTTGAGCCTGCCTCCGCCACACGTGAAGGCAGTGCATTCCAAATGCTAACCATCACTGTATGAAAAATCTTTTCCTTCCATTGCTTTTGCTTCTTTTACTCATTATATTAAAGCTAAAAAAAGACCCTTGTTATATCTTTTATAGTGGGACCTGCTGTCATTGTCATTTTGGGCAACACAGTGCAATGGTTCCAGTATTTCTCTAGTCATTTAGAAGCCAAGCTCAAGACAAAGGGACAAAGGAGGCCATTCAGCCCCTCAAGCCTCAATCTTCAAAAATAGGCCATTCTGTCCATCGAGTCTGCTCTGCCAATCAATATGATCGTGGCTGATCCTGTATAACAAATTATACTCCTATTCTCTCCTCTAGTGTCCAGAAAGCTTTCTAAAGTAAAGACAACATCACTAAAGACTGATCTCTCCTTAGAGAGAGAGACAGACAGAGAGAGAGAGACAGAGGAGAGAGAGAGAGAGATAGCTGGTGGTGAGATTAATTTGAGAATTGCCTTGCCTCAGGTGAGGGGTAAGGTGAGAGCTTCATGGTGACCTCAGCCAATAGTGGGAATTGAATGCATACTGATAGTGTTACTTGGTACTGCAACCCAGTCAACTGAGCTAACTGATGCCCAGGAGCCTACCCATTTCTTAATTAAATAAATTCAGTGAATTGGCCTCCACTGCCTTACACTTTATGTGGTAGAGAGTTATGCAGGGCCATCAGCCTCTGAGTGAAGAAATCTCTCCTTATCTCAATCCTAAATGGTCTACCATTACTCTGGGGTCATAATCCCTTGTTGTAGACTCTAACAACCCCAAGCCTCTTCCAGCCAGTGGGGGTGTCACCTTCATCCAGTCTGTCCAGCTTTTCAGAATTATATAATAGTTCAATTAGATCACCTCCCATTCTTCTAAATCCAGTGAATACAAGCCCAATGATTCAATCCCAATTCAAACAACAGACCTGCTGCCTCAGGAATCAGTCTGATGAGCCTGTGCTGTTCTCCCTCTCTGGCACATGTATCTTAGGTAAGGCACATCTTTTATGGTGAAGAAGTTGCAGCAGGATGAAAATGGACACAGAAGTCTCCAGCTTGTAGTAAAATCCAACCATTGTCTATAATGACCCAGATGTGACTCCAGTCCAGGGACCTGGGTTCAATTCCACCCTCAGGCGACTGTCTGGGTGGAGTTTGTACATTCTCCCCGTGTCTGCGTGGGTTTCCTCCGAGTACTCCAATTTCCTCCCACAGTCCAAAGATGTGCAGGTTAGGGTGGATTGTTCATGCTAAATTGCCTATAGCACCCAGGGATGTGCAGGTTAGGGTGGATTAGCCATGGGAAATGCAGGGTTACAGGCATGGGATGAGATGGGATGCTTTTTCTGAGGGTCAGTGTGGATTCGATGGTCTGAATAGCCTGCTTCCACCGTGTAGGGATTCTATGACTCTTAATGAGCTCCAACAAAAGTGGCCTAGCAATCCACTCAAATATAAACATTCATTACAAATCACTATCACTTCTCCAATATGGCAAGGATGGGAATTAATGTGGCATTTCCAGTGTCACCCTTTGTCAGGAAAAAAAAGGTTACATCAGCTCGGTCTTCATAGCCAACATCAGGTGTGGACAATTCATCTCACACTGGTACTGACACCAATATATAGCAAAGAAACACGCAATCAAAAAGGACAGTGGAATGTTAATTGTTATCCCGAGTGTTTTGGATGATTAAAAAAAGGAGGTAGTGATGACTCCATTGTGAAAGGCCTTTGTCCAATTGCATCTGCACTATTGTGCTCTAACTCAAGCACTGAAGCCCTGGAGAAGTATTCCAACTGTGAAAAGGTGCGATGGAGATCCCCCAGAGCCATCACTTATACTTCCTGATTTTGACTCTGTGCATCTCAGTGAGGATTGGGTGAGGAGTTGCTGTCGCTTACCCTGCTCACATACATCATTAATTCCCTGCAGAAGGCACTGTGCTGGATCAGGTGACCATAAGTACCGGAAGTAAGTTGGCTCTATAAAGGCCACATACATGTGTAAGCAGGAACCAGTGCATGCCATTCCTTGACAACTGAGACCCAGATCAAGGTGTGTTTTTGTACTGAATTATCAATTTAATCACAATGTATTATTAATTAGATTTCTAAACACCTTATCAAATAAAAACAGCTGGAAACTTCACGCAATGTTTTACTTCCACATTGCGTTGGCCTTTTAATAGTTAATTCATAGTGATAAGACACTCCTGATGTTAGATCATCTTTGACTGTTGCAGTAACATTTATTTTTGTGTGAGTAATGGAAATAGGCAAGCATCTGGGCCCAGGGATACAGTACAATTCTCAGAAATGTCAGCAGTCTAAGCTGAGTTAATTTTGCATGTGAATTGTATCCTTTTTGAGTGGTTTTCCTGGTTTTCCTGATGAGAGAAGAGTAATGTTTGTTCATCCTTCTGAGCAGCTGGAACTGTGAGAGAGCAAAAAGTTTAAACCTATCTTAGCATCAACATAAAAGTACAATAAGGCATTTGCCTGATTAAGTACTGGTGAGAAGGATCTTACAGCCTAGATAGACATGTAGTTCAATGAGGAGGAGTGGTATGCTGTGGACTATTAATTCACATAGTTTACAGAATTCCTGGTTCAGTTGCAGAAGTCACACGACACCAGGTTACAGTCAAACAAGTTTATTTGAAAACATCAGGTGACCTGAAGAAGGAGCAGCGCTCCGAAAGCTTGTGATTTTAAACAAACCTGCTGGACTACAACCTGGTGTCACGTGACTCCTGACTCAATGGAAAAAGACAACAACTAACATTTCCCCCTAAAAGGTCTTTTTTTTTGGAGGATCCTCCTGGAAAACACGGAGAATTTGGGAATGGTTCTTGATTAGCTGTGATGACAATGACAATTTGTGTTTACATATGAGCTTTTCGCATTTATTTAAAATTGTAAAACATCTCAAGGTGTTCCAAAGGAGATTCTATCGAACTAAATTTAACCCCAAACCACAAAAAAAATTTCAAGAGATAGAGCAGTACTGGTCCAATACTAAAACCTAAAGTTTGTGTTATATAGAAGATTGTGGATCAAGAAATAACATACAAGTGGTCAGTGTGGGCCCCCAGACATTCTAAGGGGCTGCAAGAGAATTTCTAGAGATTCTCTTCAACTGTCCCTCCCAGGGTTTTTCAGTATTTCGTCTCTCACTGTGATTATATCACTAGGACTGAAGCAGGGGAAAATGCTGTAGTACTGTGTATTGGGATGAACAGTATGAAGCATACACAATGAAAGAATGATGATGCCAGAGACACATAGAGAGAGAGAACTGGAA